TATACTATGATGTATAATTTTTTGTAAATAAAAATTGTTTTGTTCAATTATAATTTTAGGAGTAGCACACATTCCAAAAATGATGTTGGGGCAAGTAAACATAGACGTAGACCTGCTCAAGCACAAGAACTTCTTTATGCCTCCAAAAATGTAGATCAACAACGAATACCTCTTGTCCGTGTGCCAAGTGCATCTTCTTTCTTAAGGTATATAGTATATCTAGTATTCTACTACTTAACTTATAGATTTTGTATTGATTATACATTAAAAATATATTTCAGACCTGACAAGTTTAAACCATCACCAGTAATGGGCCGAAAACAAATTGAAAGACAAGAATCTGTATCACCTCGTCCCATTAGGCGAGGAACCTTTATAATTTCTCCCAATACAAATTTACTAGGCAAACCTGGTTCAATGTGAGTGCTCCTACTAACTATTAACTTTTTAAAACCCTAATCTATTTTTTTTTAATTTAACTAAAATCATTTGTGCTTCATAAATTCTTAAATAAATTAACTATACTAACTCATTGGTGTTGGTGCTCATTTTTCAATCTAACAGGGATCGACTAAACAAAAGCCCTCCAAATTCACCACCTACATATCGTCGAGCAATCAGTCGTGATGAAAATGTTTTTTCTCGCCTTACATCCAGTACTACTCAACCTAATGAACAGCAGCGATCTAAAGGTGTAATACAACCATACCAAGGAAAAGTTAGTATTAATTTAGTGTAATTTTATATTATGTTAAATTTTAAAATTGTCTTTATCATTTTAGACTTCATTGAAAACTCCTTTGGTATGTACACATATCACAGAAGGTCATTCTAGAGCAGTTCTTGCAGTTTATGCTACTGATGACATGCTGTTTAGTGCTTCAAAAGGTTAATATATTAAATAATTGATGGAAATTGTTAATATTTAGTTTTAATTTATTTTATTTTTATTAGATAAGACTGTAAAAATTTGGGATCTTAACAGTGGTAAAGAAATTCAAACATTAGCTGGTCATCCAAATAGTGTTGTTGCAATAAAATATGATGAATATGCACAACTTGTTTTTAGTGTAACTTCTTCTTACGTGAGAGTTTGGGATATGCGATTGTCAAAATGCATTAAGACACTCAGGTAATATCAGTAAATAATAAACTAAAAAATAAGCAAGATATGTTTATAAATCAAATGTTCTTTATAAAAGTTTTTAATATTACACTCTGTAGATGTTTTATTTAATACAACATTATGTTTCTCTTAATACATTTACTGCTATATGGCTGATAGCGTTCGCACTGTATATAAATATTTTTATAGACACTGAAGGTGGTAATTCATTAGTAGCTTAAACAGATTATATTATATACACTTAAAAAAATTTCAAATTATTGCTATGTAATAAAAACAAATTTTATATAACTAAAGAATGACGTCGAAATAAAATGTGACCCTGCAGTCAACATGTTAAAATAATAAAAATGTGTTTTCAGAAATATAATATGGTTTAATAAAGCAAAATATTTAAAAAGGTCATTTTGTTTTTAATAAAAAAAATCATATTTTCTTTTCTACCATTTTTGTATAATTATTTTATCATAAAACCTTTATAAAAAGGTTGTGTTTATAACTTTTGACTTCTAATAACCTTTGAAGCTCACATGATATTGACAGAAACTTTTCACGCATTGTTCATAAAAATTTATTGTATTAAGGATGTATACAAAAATTTAAAATTTATTTTTTCTGAGTTAAAGCATATTTTTTGTTTAATTTTTCTGGAATAAAATGATAAATAAGTAATTTAATTTAAAAATATTAGACCTCAACTATATCTATTGATTTTTATTTCACTATACCAAAAAGTTTCCTTGATACCAAAATGGTGTGATCAAATAATTATTAATTTAATGTTACAGCTCATCAGGTATTGTTAATAATGGATCAGTAATGTCATCACAAATTCCAGTTGGAGAAATTTTATTGAATGATATTGCACTAAACAATTATGGACGAACACTGTACATGGCATCTGGTGATAAAGTGAAAATTTGGGATATGAGAAAGTAGTAGTTATTTTTATAACTTGTTTGAGAAGTGGAGTGTAATAAATTTTGATTTTAAGGTTTACAGTTCGAGGAAAATTGAGTAGTGGTCATACAGCTGCTGTTATGTGTTTAGCAGTGGGTCGATTTGACAACAAGGATATTATAGTTACTGGATCTAAAGACCATTATATCAAGATGTTTGAAGTTGATGAGGAAGCTATTGGAACATATAATCCTACAGTTAATCTAGAACCCCCTCATTATGATGGAATACAAACACTTGCAATACATAATGAAATATTATTTTCTGGTTCAAGAGATTATGCTATAAAAAAATGGGACCTAGACAAACAAGAATTAGTTACAGTAAATATTTTTACCACCATTTTTAGTAATTATTATTATTTATTAATAAATAACTATTTTTTTTAGTCAATAAATAATGCCCACAAAGATTGGATCTGCGGATTGGCTGTTGTTCCTGATCATCCAATACTATTGAGTGTGTGTCGTAGTGGATCTTTGAAAATGTGGTCAGAGTCATCTTGCTCACTTCTTGGAGAGATGAAAGCACACGATTCTCCAATTAATGCTATTGCCACAAATTCAACTCATGTCTTTACTGCAGCTCAGTATGTGTTAATTTTCATTATATTAGTGTATACATATGTAGTGGTGGTATGGTGGAGGGACAGTTTTGCATGTGGTGTGTGTATGCAATGATTTCAGCCGTGGAGAAGTAAAGATGTGGAGAGTGGCTCAAAATATCTCATTTCCAACGGCCATGACAATGTCAACAGGGCGTATGTTCAACCTGGACATGTGAATATTTTAACTATTGAAAACATTATGACGTATGGGTCATCTATAAACTCGGTTATAAAATTATTTTATAGATAATTATTATTATTTTTTTAAATTATTTATTTTCTCATTTTATTTGCTCAAATATTTTATTTGTTTATTTTAATTTTTATTAGATTAAAATTTATTTTATTAGTTAGTATTTGCGCTGTCTGAAAATGATTTTTTATATTGCATGAAAGCTAATTGTTTAATTTATTTATTTATTATTGTTATTGTTTCATTGTTCAATAATTATTTATTGTTAAATTAGTTTTAGTTGTAAAATTTTAGTTTTGAACCTAATTAGGGTTAGCTATAAATGTTTGTTTATTTATTTATTTTTATTTTTTTGTTATCAATATTCATATTTTTTTTATCTAATTTTGATGGTGGGAGATCAAAAATGTATCATCTTAAAGTGTGTATATGTTCTTAAAAAAAATGTATAACCAATCACTTTAAAAAAAATTTAAGTAAATAGGTTATTGATAAAAAAATATTTTAAGGCTCATCACACCACTGATAAGTATTGTTATTATTTGAGGTAATTTTACCTACCTTACACCTAACCACCTGATATTTTGTGTTCACTTGACTTTCACATATTTATTTTTTTAATCTTTTTTTATTATTGTAGTTATTTCTTCCAGACAAAAATTAGATATTTTGTCTGACACATAACTTGATATTTAATATTTGCCATACTTCTATTTAAATTAAAACTATTGCTATACAATCATCTTGTTTAGGCTTTAGAATTTAATATTAATATTTATTTTTTATTCTTTTTATTATTAAAATAATGTCTTCCTAAAAAAAAGTTTATGCCTATTTTTTATATTTTACGACATACATTAAATTATGATAATTTTCTATCCATGTTAATTATTAATAAGTATATAATAATTAATAGCTAACTTGACTAAACTATTAATGTGTGTTCATTTTTTACTTATTCTAGGTAAATGACTTACAATAATATATTTAGTAATGAAATAAAAATTATAGTCTTTTTAAATAAGTTGAAGTGTTTTAAGTTGGTTTATTTGTTATTTGTATGATAGCCACAGATATATATATATATATACGTGTATGTTTATATATCTACGGATACAACTAACTTACGTGCTAACATTATATCATGATCTAACCCGAGTTGATAATAACCAAAAATTAAACAATCATTTTAAAGAATTAGATAAACCAATCCATTAAAATAATTAATAAATTAAAATTAATTTATTCTTATATTTACTGTTAATATATTGTCATGTTATTCATTATTAAGAAAACTTCACCTATTTTGTGCATGATGCTTAGCATGTTTTATGTTTTCATTATTTAGTGTATTGAACTTATAAGTCGTAACTAGTCATTATTTGATATTTACAGTGATGGAACAGTGAAGTTATGGCGTATTAAGTATCGTTTAGATGCGATGGCTTGACGGACAATCATTTACATTGCAACAATACTCCAGTACATCGGTATACTTGTATTGACCATAATCGTATTGATTAGCCACCTAATATCTTCGGTACATGCCGTCTTTTGCCATAAGCCGAAGCAAACAAAACCTATATTATAATCTGTGATATTTATTTATTTTGAGTATCTTTCTGCTGAACTATGTATTTCAGTGTTCCTTACAAATTGGTTCCAAAGATACATATTTCATAGTAACATTTTATTTATTACGGGTAGGGAATTATTTTTATTATTTCGAACACAAATAGAGAATGACTAATTGCATGCTTATTCTTAGGAAATGAAAATGCTCAATATTTTTCAAATAACCATCTAGTATTATTATTATGGTATTTGGTACTGATTATTACTTACAATTTTTTTATTTAATAATTTTATGTGCATTTGAACACATTAAATACTTTATTTTTAATATAATATAATATGTTAATTAATCCATTTTAAAAATCAAAACAAAATGTTTATTTTAAAATAGACTTGATCAAACAATGTTAAGTATAATATAATATGTATACATAAATAAAATATTGTATTACACGTTTTTATTTGATTATTTTAAAATATGTATAATATTTTAAGATACTTATTACTGAAGTGAATAAAATATATATTAAAATAATATGAAAAATAAGTATGAACTATTAGGAGATTAAGTCAATATTATTTAATTATTTTATACTTTAAAAAAAATATCACAGAAACTAGTAAAAACTAGCATTGAAAGATTAACTAACATTTTGAGCAACAAATACATGGCCAAAGTTATTGTATGAATATGTACGATTCAGTATTAATTCTTTCAATTTAATACCTGAAATAACCTAAAAAATAAAGAATATGAATAAATATTTTTAAATTTCATTCAAAAGAAAAATTATACTTGTAATCCATGATTTAATGCTACCATTGAGAATACAGTTTTGATTGTTGCATATGGTGGTAAAAGTCTTAACTGTGTGCCAGAAATCATAGTCCAAGCAAGATTACTATCTTCTTCATCACTGACTTCGACAACTAGCTGCATGTCACGGTTTCTGAAATGAAATATGTAAATTAATATGTACAAATACAGATGTTTATTTTCCATAGTTAAAAATCCCAAAATTATTCAACAAAAAGGGTTTTATTACAATCTGCTTTTATAATGACTAGGGCTCGGAAGTTGATGCATTTTGCATTTTTTTTTTTGGAACTTTTTAGACGATGCTCTCCTAGCCACAAATCTGTTTCGTAAGCATGTGAATCTAAATAACTAATTTTTATTTTGCATTTTTTGGTGTTTTTTACTTTTTAAGTCATTTTTTGAGATTTTTAGGTCATTTTCCCACAATTTTAGTTATTTTTACTGATTTCACACTAGTTCATTTCTTATCGTTTCTTGTTGACCATTATGCCGATAACTTAAACCACAGACATTTATAAAACAAATATTTTTAATTTTTTAATTTTCCTATTTTAAGGACATTTTTGTCATTTTTATTAATATAAAACTAATATTTGTAATTTTTTAGGACATTTTTTGCCATTTTTATGGTCATTTTTTATTGTTTTTAAGGTCATCAACTTCCGAGCCCTAATAATGACAAATTATTGATTACATTTATTTTTCCTTTTTTAACATTATTGTATTTCATAAATTGTTCACATTTTATTGAGTATATATTTTTTTAAATTATGTTTGTTTTTACCTGTTATTTTTTATTGAGCATGTGAAGTCAAATTGTTCTTCACAAAAAACCATATCGGGCAAATATGTTATGGAAAATGTTATGTCATCTAATTCTGGAATCTATCAACACATTTTAATAAGGTCTAATTTAGTTTTTTAATTGGTGCCATACTATTAACAGTGAATATATATATATATTATTATTAACAGTTATTTCTCATAAAATAATGTATATTTAATGTAAATCAATTAATTACCTGTCTAACTAATGGACTGGATTGTATTTGACCTTTAGTTCCCATATTAGATCGCCATAAAATATCTAACTTGCCAAGATTATTCGTTCTTGTTGGATTTTTTTCAGCAGTTTGATCTAAGCTTAATCTATACATATATTGCCGTGTTTCTTTCACATTCAGTATGTCCATATCGCCAAAAATAGATTTATTATCGGAGCTTTCAAGTAAATGATTCATTGAAATAACTATAATTAAAATAAATATTTATTATCAAAAACAATAATAATAATTTTTAAATTACCATTATATCCAACTGATGATTCTAAGATAAATTTTTCTAATGAAATTGGAGTCGACATAATATTTTGAACTTGAACTTCTAAATAAACTTCATCAGTCTAGTATGAAAATAATAATATAAATCTAAGTTATGTATATTTTTATAGTTTAAACATTTATTATTTATTATAATATAAAATTTGTTAAGATGCTTACGACGGTATTGTAGAATTTTGTTTTTAGATCTAAAGGTTTTGGAACTCTATAACTGAATATTGTTTCGAATGAATATTTTCTATCATATTCCACTTGACAAATCAATTTACTAAAAAGTGTACATTGTTATATACTAATGTAGTTCTAAATTAATTTTAGCACAATTCTTACTTGACACTACCGTGTTCTTTAACTTCATGCTTTACAATAACATCAATAGAAGCATACGGGTCCAACTTAGGAAAAGCTTTTGGTCCCAAAATTGGTATATGTGATGTTGCAGTATCTATTTCTGCTTTTAAAATAATATCATAAACTGTTTGGGAACTTTCATTCTTCAAATAAATATAACACAGAAATGTTTCACCAAGATACACATTTCTAAAAAACAATAATACACACGTCTATAAATTGATTAATAATCAAACTGTTCAAAATTTACTCTAGAACATTAGGAACCATTAGAAATGAACCAGCTGCTAATGTTTCTGCATCAGCTAATGTAGTCACATCTTTTTTTAATTGTGTATTCAACACAGATCCTGGTAAATCTTTTGAATCACATGTGACTACTTTTGAGTTAAACATAACCGGCTTACCGAGACGCATTACTAAAGATCAATTACAAAACAAATATTAATATAATCGTTTAAAAGTGTTCTCTTAAATGTTTGATGTACCTCTCAATTTAATAGGATGCTCGATAATTTCCTTCACTTCTATTGAAGTCATACTTAAATATTACTGATACTTCTGTAGAATGTACTAAATGTAGGTAAAGACTGATACACAAGAACGGTATGACAACTTTCAAGTTTTGACTGCAGCAGTACAATGATTACAAAAGGATACAGAAGACCGACTATAAAATATGGTTTGGAAACATAAAAACAATCATTTAATTGTTTACGATAACATCGACGCTGTAAACTCCAGCGCTCCACAATAGAAGTGGAAAATTGAGAATGGTGAGTAGTGAGTAGGTACTAATTACTAACTACCAAGTAAATACTTCCAAATAATAGAACTCACAGATATATGATAAAACCTTGTCGTCATTCGATAATGAAATTAATGAATATTCTTATGGGGTCCAAAGCTTGCTGTATATAGTTTAATAAAAAATTTAAGAAGATTAAAGAACAATATATCTCACAGATAAATACAATATATATATTATTTATGATACATACCTGTGAATATAATATCATTCGTGTCTAAATACATATTTAGCCATGATATCAGCTATTATCTATTATCATTATTTATTACTTTAGTAATCTGTGTGTTTTACGTTATCACATATCAGTATGCAACAGCAATAATAATGTATAATTGTTCCTACTACTTGATGTGTATTGTTTCACTTAAAAATCGTCTAAATACTGTAAAATATATACAAGCAAACACAAACATATAATGAGTATAACGATGTACTCTACAATTTTATGTAAAAAAATTTTGTCCGGTTCACTCTTACATGACCTGAGTAGATCGCTAAATGTTGACGCGATCAGTGCGCTAAGCAATAGTTCTTTCGGTGCCAAACTCTTCAGCCACAACACAAACAGCATAGGAGTTCATACTAACAAAGGACAGTCACAACAGTCGTTTTTGCGTCCAGGATCCAACAGCAACAGTTGCACGACGTCAATCAACATCCACCGACATTATTGCAGCAAGAAATACAGTCCGTTTCCAGAAGTACCAGAATTTCCACCAATTGTTTGGCCCAATGTGTTCAAGTCCTTCAAAGCTCTGCTATATTCATATCTAATAATCAAACCACAATTTGACAAAGACTTCAGTCTTGGAGAGTTTGCCAAAAACTCCCGAAAGGTGTGTTCCACTATTATAGATTTTTGTAGTTACATTAATTTTTTTACTATATTTTAAACAAGCAATACCAAAATACAGTTATAGTCTACAACTAGTAGATTATATAACTATAATTAATTAATGTATAATCTTTATTAACATATAATAATGATGTTTATTAGATTAATTATCCAATCAATAAATTTTAATTAAATTAATTTTTTAAGTATAAATTAAAATAACCAATAAAGATAACAAATTTATATAATAATTTGTGAGATCGATCTATTTATATTTTGAATTTAAAGAAGTTAATTGTATGATTAAACAATTAAGAACATTGAAATTTAATGTGACAAATATTTTTGATCAGTTATACGAACTGAACTATTCAAAAAAATTGGTTTTGTATTAACTCAATTATATTTATAGTACCTTTTAATTTTTATGTGTGGTGACAACCTAATAGAATAATTATTAAATATAGACCAAATAACTGAAGATTAATGCCTACATTAATTGGTTATTAAAATCTATACAATTTCAATTTATGAAACCAATCATAGAAGTGTTTATTTAAATATTTGTTGCTTTTTCAGGCAGTTGAAGTAGTGTCCAATTGTATTTCCAAACGTGATTTCTCCACATTACAGGGACTGGTCACTAACGATGTGCTAGAACAGGTGAAATTGATTGTATCAGATCTCAGTGATAATGAAATAAAAGACATGGCATTTGATAATGATGACATGTATTTATTTTTACCAGTACAATTAGATATTATTAATGACACAAAGTGTGAGTATAGCTATTTTAATTGGATTAATTTATATGGTCTATTAAAATAAAATTATATTATACCTACAACCTTGTATATTAACAAATTTTAATTTTCTAGTTAAAGATCGGCGTTTTGTTGAAATTACAATGTGCTATCACGCAATTCATAATTTAGAAGAGATCAAAAAAAGATCTGAAGAAATAGTAGACATACAAAAAGAATTAAAGAGTAATATATTTGTATTGAACTATAGATTTATTAGAGAATATACAGAAGGAGTCAAAGATGCATGGACTATAAATGCAATCAATCATTTAAAAGCTGAAGAACACGATAAGACAATTTTATAAATAGAATTATACCATATTATAGTAACTAAATACCTTTAAATTTAGATTTCATACTATATAATTTTTAATAATTAAATAATGTTTATTAACATATTGCTATCTCACTTATTATACCCAATATGCATTTGATATGTTAATCATTTGAATTTGAGATTGAAATGTATTATTTTTTAAATACCATTAGTGACATTTTAACACAAACTTTAGATCAGCATATTTTCAGTCTTTCCATATTTTTTTTTTGTAATTGTTCTTAAATTTTAAAATACAATGGATATTATTTTTAACAAAATGTTCATAAAAAAAAATGAAAATAAATCTATTTAAAAAAAAATGTACATCTTATCTACCAAATAGAGAAACATACCATAGTTATTGTGTAAGTAACAAGTTTAAATTAATTTATTTACAATTTCACATTGAATAAGTATTGTAATATGGTAGTTGTAATTGTATTTTGTAGGACCCAATATTTGGTTTTATTCAACTTAATGACAAAGATAGATAAAATCAGTTGTTGTTTTTAAAATAATGAAATTACTAACGCTATTCAATTAAACTTTGTGATTACTTATTAGTACTTAATAAATTTAAAACTATCATTCCAAAAATTATTTTAACCAAAAAATAATCCCGTACAAGTACAAGACTACTACCAAATTACAAAATTAGTAAATATTAAAAAAATATAATTGGATTCTTTTACTTTACATACGTTTCAAAAATAATTTTTATCTTCAAACTATAAGTAATTGTAATTGCAATTACATTATATTAAAATGTATATTTTGTATTTTATAATTTTTATATAACATTTCTATTTTGAACTTTACTTTCTTAAAACAATGTCAGGTTATAAGGAGTGTTTGGTAATAGATCTTTCATCAATATATTGAGTATATTTGAGTAAAAAATAGTTATTATTATTGTTACAGATACATGGAGTATACTATATTTGATACTTATTAAAGTGTATCTTTAACATTCATAACCAGTGCTGTTTTGGAGAGTATATGACGTATACCCAGATCTTTATTTTTAGATATGTGTATACCTTAAAGAAAATGTGTCTATTATGGATATACGTTAATTGAAAATTCATATATTATGGGTATGCACAAGCCTCTAGTTTATCACTAGTCATAATTAATATCACATTATAAAATAAATAATAATATATAATTATTATTTTATTATGTTTACTGTTAGACTGTTTTAAAATAGCCTCGACCTCATATAAAGTTTGGAATTTGGAAACTGCTGAGCGTGTATATTGTCTGTTTACTGTAAATATTATTATTAGTATCAATATTATGAAAGTTTAAAACGTATATGTCCAAAGCGGATGTTCCACTGAATTGTGTGCTGTCAGAATATTACTCATTTTCAAATCAAATCTACCTGGTTATATCCTATTTATCACTGAAATCGCAACTTTGGTTCAACATAAAAAAAAATTCATAATTATGCAAATATTTGTTGGATAAAGTAAATAAATTTATAAATTATAGAAATAAATAACCAAAATTAAATTTCTAGTATACCAGTTAAAAGTTATTTACGTTGATACATGTGAATAATGAACATTTGCAATAAAAAATAAAGTTTATTAAACACTTTTAAGCATTATAATATTTCAAGCAAAGAAAGACAATTTTTCAAGATACCTGTACCTATATTGAACTAATATTAGGTGCATATACTCATAAATTAATTTACCAATACACCACGTTTATAACAATTAGTGATATTGAGTAACATACTATTTCTGTTACTCGGCTTTAGATTAAATTATCTTGCCTGTGTCGAGTAATTTACAATCAATAAATTAGATATTGAGAGTTTTAAAAAAATATTATTTAAGCATTTAAAAACCAATAAAAACTAATAAAATGATTCTATAATTGTATTAAATAAATTGCAACCTCAAAGAAAATATTCCATTTATGAGAATAAAGACAAATGTGTCATAATGAGAAAATAAAGTATTTTTTTTATTAATATTTAATACCTACCTACTTAAATTGGTAAAATAATTGGTTATTATCTATTACACTGAAACTTAAAATGTAAAAGGAATTATTAATAAGAAATGTGAGAATAATTGTTTAAATTAATTGAGGATATGGAGTTAACAATTAATAAATAAAACATGAATTAAAAAAAAAAATTTATTGGTATGGTTATCTACCATAAAATTTTCTTGATTCTGATAACAAAATGTTACAAGTAAAATTTAACAGATTTATGATTTACAACATTTATTTATGAAATAAAAAATACTGAACAAATAAGTATTATGTTCATTCCATGTATAAGAGCTATAACAAAATATGAATCCATTTAAGAATTAATTTTGTTAAGTTTCAATTGACAAGTTTTTTTTTTTAATAAAAATAATTTTTACAATATAAATAAATAATTAGTTTTAAAGTATACAGTTGTAACACGACCCAAAATAATATAAAAATATTGAAACTAAACTACCTAACTAAAAAATATTAGAAACTAAATTCATAGTTGTTTCAGTTAATTATGAGGAACACTAAAACAAAGTTAAGACTAATTTCAAGTCATAAACATATTATATATAATAAATCTTATGAAGTTCACATCATCAAAATAAAAATAATAATCCATAATGGAATATTATTTTATATATTATATTTATTATTTATACATAAAATTAATATAATGGAAGATCGTTAAAAATGATTCTTGTTACAACTTAATTTAATCTTAATGCCAGGCGAGTAATTGAGTAAAATTCATTTCAGAAGTATTTTTGGGCTTTTATAAAATTATACAAGTAAACTGCATATGTTTAAGAAGTACAAGATTATTATTATTTTAATATCTGGACATCTGGTAACAAATACATCTGAAATGATCAATAAAAATACATGTTAAGGTCTATGAATATAAGGTGCCATTGTAGAGCAGTTGTTATGTTCATGGCTCAAATGATCAAATTCTTTATGGGTATGTCCACCTGTAATTAGAATTCATTTTAGCATTTGTTAATTTAATAGTATAAATTAGTCTTTTATTTACCAAAAAGTTCTAATATAACCATAAAGAAAAACCCAATCATGGTTAACAGTAACTTGAGCAAACCAGGCGCTGTGTCCTTTTTTCTTTCTCTATCTAGCACTTCAAAAAATGTAACATATAGAATTGTACCAGCAGCTAAGCCTTGTAAAGTTGCATTTCCAATTATATGATAATTCTGATCCATATCAAATGTTTTCAGTGTTAATAACAATCCCAATAATATACCTAAAATATGTTATAAAGTTATTAAAAGTAATTAAAAAATATAATATAATTAATTTATTTATGCTTGAAATAAAATGTTAAGATACAGAATGTTTTAAAATCAAATACTCATTTAAAAAAATGAAGACAATAAATATGATTATATAAGTTAGAATATAATTTCATTAAATTTTTATAAACTTGTGATATTTAGTATACATATATATAATGTGATATAATGGCTGTCATGACCCAATAAAATTCTATAATAGATGTAAGTAAAGAAATTTAAAATAAAACTTGGATAAGAAATCAAGAATAATTGTAAATACTGTTTACAAGGTCATACAAAATAAATTACATAAAATATTAATAAAACTAATATACTTAGAAAGTTATTTAACTCACTAACCATAATGAATACAAATTTAATTTATGATGTAATTTGTTAGTATTTAGCAAAAATGAAATCGCAATAAATGTTAACTATGAATAATCAACACAGATATCAGTATTAAAAAGGTATTTTTAACATTGCATTAAATATTTTGTTTTTATAATTTGGTCATCTACATTAAAAACAACATATTTTATATTTAAATTAAATATAAAGAATGTTACTACTTTGGTGTTTACTATCAATTTAGTTTTATATAAACAACAATAAGGTATTCTAAATAAATATTCATTATAAATTATGTTTTTAAATACTAAAATTACAATATTTAAAATACTCATTTGCAATGAAACTTTTACTTAGAAAATTAAATGTACAGTTGGAATGGAAATATAATATTGTTGTTTGTTGCTTTAACACATTTAAAAACTGTTTTTAATTAATAATATGCCAACAAATATAGTAAATATATTATTTTTTTTAAATATAACATAACCCAATTTCAATTTAATTTTTATAATGCAGTTTTGAAAGGAATCCCTACAGGTTAAAAATTCTATATACTCCATAACATAATATTAAACATTATAATTTTTATAAAACCAAATTACCCAAAAATAATTGTTAAAAAATTAACAATTTAAAGTAATAACTCATAAGTAATAAATGATTAAAACCATAAACATTAAACAACTTAAATATTGGAAATTTTTAATTGTAAGCTATTAAGTCAATACGCTATCTTTATGACTTTAACAATAAAAACAAAAAAAAATTAAAAATGAAATAATTCAAAAACTTTAGGATAGGTTTATGTAAAAACAAAAAAATAAAAACATTAATTAAATTAAGTTACTCAAATTTAAAATTATTATAGAAATTGAGATTTTTTAGATTTAAATATTAAAAATTTCAACTTTTAAAACAATATACCTTTTATTTTTAAAATTTTAAACTTAAACTGAAAATGTTCAACATTTTTTAAAATTATTAGTACTTTTTTGATTGTCATAAAATAGCCAACAGGGTTATAAATTTATAGAACAGATGATCAAGTTGTTATTCCATAGCCATTAAATAATTTATGTGGGTTTGTAAATTTTAATTAACAACAAAAATATGCTCAATAATTTAATCATTCTAATAATATACATTTAAAATAAATACCAAATAGATTTTTACTAAATCAATATGTATTTTAACAAAATTCAATATATGTTACTTCATCTAGAATCTAAAATATTATGAATTATTACTCATGAAATTCTATTAATAATTAAAGTTTACTTGTATGTATTATTTATTTTTTATTTTTCTGATTTTAAAATAATATTTATGCTAAGTAAAACTATAAAGTATTAAGAAAATCAAAACATCACCTTTAAAATATAGAAAATTGTTAGGTATATGAAATTTTAATGATTGTTTAATTGAAAGTGTTGATATAAGAATAATTTTTGTAAGACCATTGTATTTTTCAATATTCAAGGATCACAAATAAACAATTTACTTAAGTATTTGAGAAACCATTTTTTAAGGACTAACAGTACTAGTAATGATTAGTAAGTTTTATACTATAATTTAATCTATATTCCATTACTTTATAATTACATATTTATATAATATACTTATAAAATAAACATAATTATGTAATTTATATTAATAATGTAATAGAAAAAATTGATAAATATGTTATTAATTAACTAAATTCAAATCAATATTTTATTTTTTATACCTGTTGTTTGGAAAAAATTGGTTAATTACATATGTCAGTTTTAATTGTTGAATTTTACATATCAAAAGAACTTGTTTTTATGGTTCAATTGAATTTATTTAAAGAAATGAGATGATATTGAATTATTAATTAAGTATAAATAAAACTTTTTCTAACTTACCGAAAGGCGATACCAGGGTAAGAACAACAATATTTAATATGATATTTGTCAAAGATGAACACGAAGTCACTAATTTTATGCCAATACAAAATAATATAGTACATTCATGAATAGATACTGCTAAAAACAGGAAACCCATATTTTCCATATTTTCTTCTAAGCCAATAGCTAGTCCTTCCATAACTGAATGAAATGATAATGCAAGTACAACTAATAGACTTCTTAAATTATGTACATGTGACATTTCATTATTATTTTGTTCAATTTGGCAATCTGGAGTTCCTGTTCCTTGATCTACACTAACAGAATTAACATCATCAGCAGACTTGACTGCTGTTAACTGACTGTTGGTCCATTGTAATAGTCTATCACAATGTCGTGTAGTTTTCGCTTTACTACGTTTTTTATGTTTTTTAATAAAATGCTTAACAGATTCTTCAATAAAATAAACAAGAAAAAAACCCATACAAACAACCAGTTCAGTTAGTGGATAATGTTGATAGTGTTCCGGCAAATGCCCAATGAGGCTCTCCCTTACTTCTGGTATCAAATGAGTAAAACAGGTAGCTAGTAACACACCTCCACCCAAACTTAAACATAATGAAACTAAATACTCCAGCTGAAACATTAAGTTCAAAAAATATACTAAAATGTATAGTTATTTTTAGTTATCTTTAAAAATACTTACTGTTTTTGATGTCAATGAATCTGTAGATTTGTTTGTTAATAGTTTTCTAGATACAAGTAATGGGGAGAAACCAAAAAATAATCTCGAAATTATCGACAAAGCAATAATTAGTGCCTTAGCACCGTACTGGTCCATGTTGATCTATTAATGTATTTTCATAAAACTATTTTTCTATTTGTTGTTTGTCTTTGACATCACTTGGAAACAGGCCCAACTCCAACGGCCACCACCATCGCAGAATATTTTGCGTTACATTTAGATTAAATTCAAATCAATTGTTCACAAAAAAAAATTAACGAATCGCACACACCCGAATTGCCGACCAACGGTGGCAATAAATTTATCAGAACTGTCGACTCTGCTGAGTGTCGGGAAAGTTATCTGGACGTATACCTATGTACAACTACATGTGCAGTCCAAGTGCATGTATGCAACCAATTTACAAACGGATATTAGATACGGGATTCAGTATTTCAGTGTTTCTAAAAAATGGCATTTTCAATGATTGAGGTTATAATGGTTATATCGAACTCCCAAAGACGATAGCAAGATTTCGACCGCCGCGATTCACAATTTAATCATAAGTGACAACAAGAGTGTGATACAACTTACTACAAAATATACAATTATTACGGTTTAAGAAGATAAGGTCGGAGTGGTTGAACAAATGACAATTTCTACCCAAGACAATAAATTTAGCTATGTACACTAATTTATTGATATCTACATGACTACATGAGAACAAAATGGAGTCGATCGGAGATTACATTTTTTACTTACATAAGTAAAAAAATTAGGAGGGATTGGGGATATAACTCATTTTTTATTTTTGCTTGTACTAGACTTAGCTATTTTAATATTTAAACTATTATATCATGTTAGTAGATGATATAAAATTGAATTAACATGACGTAATGACTTTCAACAAACTTACTTATTTATACTATTGGTTTTTTTTTTATGATTTAAAGTAAACAAACATTTTAGATTTTAATATTACTAATTTAAGCGTTGCGCAACAAACAGTAATTATATTGATGCTAAATATATAAATATATTGTGAGGACTGGAGAGTACACAACACATTAATATTTTATTTACGGTTACTAAACACGGAGACACAGTTTAAAAATAAAAAAATATTAATCAACGTTCGTCGAAAATTTAATTCGATATTTCGTAGGATATTATACCATTATTAGCAATACTTGCAGACATCGTATATATTTGCCAACTAAGAGTCATAAATGGGTCGATTTAATCTTTCTACTAAAAATACAACATTTCATAAATATTAGAATAATTATTACTCGATGCCTGTTAAATATTGCTAATAAGTAATAATGTCATACTTATCTTTATTTGCTACTTTGCTAGTGAAAAATGAGTAGGCAGACAGCAAAAAAATACCAAAAAAATATAGGTATGCTATGTTCATATTACGTAACATATTAATTATTAAGCCAATTATTATAGTATTTAATAACAGGTAAGTTATTTAAAACGTTTGTAATAAAAAATAACGCTTGTCGTGCATTAAAATTTAAATAATAACAAATTTAAAAATCAATTACAATGTAAAAATCGTGTAGAACATAACTAATACATTTAACGACATAAAATTAAAATACCTAATTATATTATGCAATCTAAAATAACATATTACATTCCATTCTACGTAGATTTTATATTTTAAATTAAATGTAAACGCATACGATAAAAAAAGTATCAACTACCTAGTAATAAATTAAATTATACTTATTTAGTTATACAAGTACCTAAACGACAATAATGGTTGTCACCGATCTCAACTTTCAAATGAAGTAAATGTTCTATTTATTCTTTATAATATCGTAAAGTTTCAAACTCAAAAATATATTTATATTCATGTGATTTAAAAATATAGCAAAACTGAAAATAACGAATAAAAACGCGAAACTACCTAAAGAGAGTATAAATTATAACTTTACTAGTTGACTACAGAGAATTTAGAATGAATTTCGTAATTGAATAAGTTACAATAATTGATAATATTTTATTAAATTTAAATTCAATGATAAATTGTTGAAATGTATATTATTTTGAGGTAAGCCATTACCAGCATCTATTTTCAATAATATTTTGTTTATGTTGTATTAAAATTGTACCTATTACTATATTATTGTATTTTCTTATTATTTAGTAATTTTTACTCAATGCTTACCTATAACATCACATTACAAAAATTTAGATTGGTGTAAAACTTTGAATAAATTTATATTATAAATAGGCAAGTAGCTTAAAAATAGGCTAAATATTTTATTTTGAATAAAAAATAAATTCACAATGATGAAAATTTGAACATAAAACATGTATATATTAAAAAGTAAATAGTGTATCAAATAATCAAGCTTTTTTTACGGAGAAACAAAAATATTAAAAAACATAAATCAAAAAATATAAAAGAACAAATTTTCCAAATTTCAAAAACAACATTATTTTATTAATTTATTTAAATTGTATCAAAATTCAAATAAATAGCTTAAAAACAGTTGACATATTTTTTAAGTTATGTTATTATGTCTGCAAAATGATAATATAAAATATATTCTATATAAAAATTTTAGGTTGTTTACATTATTCTTTTCTTATTTACAATAATTAGAAAAATATCGATTAATCAAAACTGGTGTTACAGAAATAGAAATATTTCTATTGGTAGTATATTTTGTTATTTTTCAAATGATAAAGAAGAGTTTAATTTATATTAAAGAATTTACTAAAAACCATCATCATAATTGTTGAAGATTGAAGTTTTTTGCTTCAAATCATGACGATAAATAAAAACAAGTAAATACCCCTCATTATAAAACCATTAAGCTTAAAATTTGAAAAAAAAAAGTATACCAGTGAATTTTATAGCTTAGTTCTATACTTATAATATGTAATTCATATTACCTATATATACAGGATAAGAGTGTAAGACTCATCATAGTCTAATGATATAAATGGTTTAATCGCTATATCTTTTATTATGCATGTGTGTGTAATAATAAAAGAATAATACTGATTGTTTAATCTTGTAATTTTAAATATCGAGTTATAAATTATAAATTCAGTTTATTTAATAATATACATTAGTAGGTAATCACAAAAATAGATGCATCTTTAATATGCAAAATATAAAATATATTTTAAATTATTCAAAAAAAGAAGTGCTTTTTTAATTATTAGCACTTACCTAAAAATGAATATTTGTAAACTCTAGGTCTTTTTTATTTATAAATTATGATAAAAAAAATTATGTATCTATTCTTATTCTATATATTTTTTTAAATTTTAATTGAAAGTACGCTTGATCTAAAATCTGTACATTATTTTATTATACAACAAACATAATTTTTATTAACTATCAAATTGTTTCATGGATAATTGAAAAAAAAGAGTATTACTCATTAAACATAACTGAAGTGGCATTTTTATTCATGAATTTTCACTATTATAAATCATGGCATTATATTTTCTTTCGATATATACGGCGGGGAGGATTCTTATAGTCATAGTCTTACAGCTATATCTACTCATACTCGATGTTTCTAATAATTGATTGTGAGTGTTTTTTTTTTTTATTGATTTTAGAGACATTTCAAATTTATTTGAAAGTTTATGGGTAATAGTCCATAAAAATTAGAACGCAATAGCAGTTATACGCACGTGTGGCTTGTTAAATTAAAAAAAAAATACATGTTTTGTCAGTCGTCATGGAAAAAATAAAAATAATACAATTTTGAATTCGATAATTTATTTAAAAAGTAACTAAATTTCATAGACCACAGTTATAAAAAAGTTTATTGCTAATAGTTTTAAAAATGAATAATATTGTTATTACTTATTGTAGATAAAATATGTGATGCTAATTGCTATTTAGGTAATATTGTATTTGTATGTGTCAGTGTGTCTGCAGGTGCCTACTACCTGTAAGGCGATATCATGATACATGGACGTATATTATTTAAATGGCTTATATTATTTAAAATTCATCAAAAATGAAATTTCAGTTAATTTTTAGATCAATCATAGTTTCAAAAAGAAACTTAGGTAAACCAAATAAAATATTATAGATTCTAGGAATGCAGCTGATTGACCACTACATAATATATTTCGATGTGCATCCGTGCTAACCAATCTCTATACTAATAACTAATTTGTATTTAATATTTTTATTTGTTATTATTTATTTTTTATAAATGCAATTTTCCATTTATAATCATTAATCAGTAGGTGTAGAAGCTATTGACAAAATGTTGTACCTACTTATAATTTATATAACATATTATGAATAACTACGTCAACAGGTGTTTACGTTATGGTCTTTCACCGAAAACCTTTTTAGGATGACACTGCTTAAATTAATATTTATATGTATGTATCAATGTATTATATTATATTTAAGATTTTGGAATGTATAGACATTTATGTATATTATATATATTAACCAGCCAAAAGTCAAAATAAGATTGAAATACATTATGAGTTAACACCAGGTAGATATGTAGTTGTATAGACGTATATTCAAAATTAATTGAAATTAGCGTTAGTATTTGAAGGGTACTTACTATTTATATTAATAAAAGTATAAAAGAAAATATACCAAAACAAGATTGATACAAGTATTTTTATCTTCAGACAAATTTTCTAATCTGAAAGTAAATGATTTCAAATAGAATCGTTTATTCTAGTGACGGTTTTGTGGGTGGGTGATAGATAATGAATAAGTCTATCCTTTACAATTACCATATTGTCTTAGAATTAATTTAAATTAAATTAATTTTAGTAATTAATATTTGTGGACAAAAAATAAAAACGGCTCTCCAATAATGCTATTTAAATTTTTTTTAAAATCATTTGCTGTGTACGGTAGTGTTTTTTGTTAATAATAAATAACTATGAGAACCTGCATCAATATTCTATGTTTTTGAATGCTTCCCAAAATTAGATTCCATAAAAAGCTAAAGGGAGGATTAGTAGTTTGTAAATTAATACATTTTTTGTAGTGATATTTTAGATTTTTTTAGGGAACGTATTTGACAAAGTCTATGGTTTGAAAATTTAATTTTAATTTGAGTTGTCATGTAAGTTGTCTATCTAGACAGATGCATCTCAAAATATTTTATGGACTGTTTAGTTGGTATATATATACCTTATTTTTTATAGACCAGAAGCCAATCACAAAAGTGTAATATTTAATGACTATGTAAGAAAATTTTAATTCATTCATTTTTATTATCCATTTTAAGAACAAAGTGTCCTGTAAATTTGTAGTTGGTTAAAATGACTTTGGAGATAACAAAAATGTTGTTTCAGGATTTAGGCTGGAGAGTAGATACAAAACCATCATTATCGGCAAAAGACTCAATAGATATTTAAATGTATCATTAAAAAACATATACATATTAATTTCTAGTTATCTCAAAAATTAAAACTATAAGAACATTAAGAACATATTAAAAATGTAATTTCTTACTGTAAATAATATAATTTTAAACATATTTTTTTTTATTAACCTCATGCAGTAGTATAAAATTAAAAAGAAAATAACATAGATGTATAAGAATTTATAAAGAAAATAATATGGTTTGGTATTATATCATTTGATAATATACCCAATAAGGCACCGGAGGAAAAGAATCTAAAAACGTAAGGAACAGAACATTTAAACAGAATATTCTTGAGGTTACAGTGTTACACTAAGTTTCCTCATGATGAAACACGTGTAAAATATGAATGGGTCAAGAGAAAGTATATAAAAATAGGAAAGGGCAAAGGAGTAAGAATATGACTACCGTATAAATGTGGCTATATATTATATAGTGTATTAATCACCGTTAAAAGATCATAGTTAGAGATAATCATTGAATATAGCATTGTGCCAAAGTACAATTATGCCATATTGAAAGGGAGAGAGGTCTATTTTGTAATTTGCCAAGTTTTACATAATATATTTTATTTCCAAGAAAATAATAAATTGCATTTTTAATTTTTTTTTTAATGCTTTAAGTACTTGGGTTAACTAATAATTTATAAAGAATCTTGTATTCAATTTTCAAATTTTTTGACCGAGCTTAAAAGGACCCTATTTTATATTTGAATTTTTATACCATTTAAGGATTGTTCCGGTACGAATTTTACGAATTTTTTTTAGATTTTGAGTAGAGCGTTATGTATTTTACTTATTGGTTTTTCAATAATGTCTAACTAATACATTTTTATATCTTATATAACTTTTAATATAACTCACATTTTACTTGCTTGAATTTTTATTTAGATATATAAACATTTTCAAATAAATTATATTACACAATTTACAGTAAAAATGTTCGTTCTCGTAAAAAAAAGAAATTTGAAAAGTTTGAATCGTTTCAGGGTCCTTCTTAAGTGTTATATTGTAAATTTAAATAATTGAAAATATGATATTTAAATAAAGGTACTTAAAGTCCAAAAAATAGAATTACAATAACTTTATTATATCTATTTAAGGAAAAATGGAAGCCCCAAATGGCACTAATCGCCTTATACATAGATGATATATACTTAAATGTTTATATATAGTTTAAGCTTTAGTCAAAATATCACTTGATTAAAAAATATTCTATTTTAGTCGTATATTATATTATCTACATAGTACATCCTATACATATTTGAGTAATAGATAAACGTATAAAAAATTTCATGTACCCAAGTATAATTTTGTGTAAGAACGTGTATATATTTATTTATCCCTATCTTATCGAACACAACTGGGCTGCATAAAAACTCGGTTCAAAGAATGCATAATTCTAAAGTGTTGATTCCATATTATTCTCTTCAACAATATTATTTCATCAACATTTGAAACTGATCGAAATAACTGAATAATAAGTATATTATTATATATATTAATACCACGGTTATATATACGGTAGACATTTGTATACGTCATATAGTATACCTATTAATTAATGGTTAATTATGCTTAAACTAATCCATAGTTAAATTTAGATATCTACTGAATTATACTTTAGTTCTATTTTATTTATTTATATGACCACAGCTTATGGCTTATATATAATAATTATCATTGATTTAACTAGGTTTATACATTTTACACAACTAATAATATAGTAAATTGGCGTCTGAAATGCTATAGCCTATAATATTTAACTATATATGATAGTCCCTGATTTAGTTTATAGTCTACAGTAATATATTCCACATAATAATCTGTATTGCTATGTTAAACATGTTTAATCTTTAATAGTTTGATTTTAAAAACATATCAATATATAAAATATGATGTTAATTTTTAGAAATTTCACATTCCAGACAATTAATATGAAGCAATAATATTATATCATTTTCTGAAACTAAAATCTTTTGTATAAAAATTATTATTTTGGATGTTATGCAATAAAATATACATATGTACAATACCTAATTTCTTAATAAGATATGAAGTAGCCAAATAAGTACTAAATTGTATAATATAGTACAAAGATAATTAAGGAGATTGATTTTCTTAGAATATTTTTAATTTACATGTTCTTCGATTCGTTTTGTAATGCGAGTTATCTATGTTTTCTCCATCATATTCTTAGTAATTTTAACTGACCTGTGTCTGTTAAAAATGCACTCCACATCAATATAATAAAATTTAAAGCTTAAAAAAATGTATTATTAGAAATAATATTAAATGTATGGATAAAAATATATTAAATACGAACCCACAATATAAACAAAAAGGGAAAAGCAAATAACCGCTCTGATGTACAACAGTTGTACGAGTAGATGTCCTGCAGTCAATCTCGTCAATAAGGATTGTAACTTGTAAGTCACTATAATGTAGGTACTTATTGAGTACTTAAGATCAACCAAAGTGTTAAATTTTAAATCAATGATAAATTATTGCATATGAAAAATGATCCCGAACGAAGACGAACTATCAGCCTATATTACTTAATATATTTTAGTATGTATTTATATTGCAAATAAAGTTATTTTGTTTTACTAGTAGGATTATTAATGAATTATAATAGTACGGTAGGTTGAATTAATTAAAAAAAATATAATAATTTATAATATAATATAAATATAATAATACATATTTGTCAAATATTAATGAACAATGGTACGCAATGTAGTATATTAGGTACTATACTTTGTACTTATACAGATTTATTTTACAGAATATTTTGCAGTTACAGATTTAATCATTCATTTTCTCACTCAAATCAAGTATTTTTATCAATTACAAATTTATAATTTTACAAGTAATAATATCGGCATCGATGTTTCCCTATAGACTCAGAATAGATGAAATTTAATCTGTTATAGAAATTCTGTGATATACCTATAGGTTCAGTTGGTTGTTATCGAGACTCAAGTCTCACACATTTAAAGATGATTTATAGATCCAAAAGACTAGAAAAACTATAGTACAGTAAGATCTCGTTAATCCGAACGAGATTGGGGAAAGGAATCATTCGGATTAACGATTTGTTCGGATTACTTATGACTTAAAAAAAAACAATTTTCTTGTAATTTAAATTTTGAAAATAAGCTTTAAGTATCTATACTGCAGTATTAATTCATAAAATTCGTTGTAGTAAAACACTATAATTAATACAATCAAAATCATTATGATTATGTATATACAGCCAGCTAATATGTTCATATATATTGCATATTATTATGAATTATGATACACGTCATGTGTATTAGCAAAGGCAATGCGGCAATTTCCAAGCCCGTTCGGATTAGTCTGTGTTCTGACTAACGAGATCCTACTGTATGTAAAAAATGTCTATAATATAGAAATAAACTACGCTTTTAATTACTTCCAAAAAAGTTACTTAATTCAGCAGTAGCTAGAAGCCAGGAGGGTCACGTGCCTGCGATTCAACAAATTTATTTTATTGCGGACGCATGAGCTACTAATTTAAGTCTCGTAGGTAAAGTATAATAGAAATTATTCATGTTTTTTGAAAAATATATCAACAAATATTGATTGAAGATTAATCTTTGTTATTTGTTGGAAATTTGGAATAACCAATGTTATCAAAATTTCAACTTCAATCACTCATGATTTATAAAGAATTATTAAGAGGAATAAGAGGATGCTACCTGGACAAACGAAACCGTATAACGTTCAAGAGAATGCGCTGTTAGGTGTTTTCACGCGGCGCAAGCACGCGCCACGCGTTCAGCCACTTCAGACTTCAGTACCGCACACGGCACACTACAAGTTTATCTAGCACAATCGGTCGGATGTATATCCATACAAGAGGTTCCACCAAATGCTAATAATTAATATTGTTAATTGATGATCGTCTGTCACAAATGCAGCAGGTGTCATCGTATTCAATTTTACGCTTTTTAAACTAAGTCCACTTTGCTGGCGCACACTCACTATCAATAAGAGATCTTGTTTATCTAAATATATTTATAGCGTTCTCTTAAGCTAAATTCTTTTTTAATTTATAGTACGGGGTATCTTGTATCAAAAATCAAAAACTTTGGTGATAATCTGCAGATAATATAAACATTTGTAAATTTTCGTAATTTTGATGAATTTCGTAAAAATTTGAACTTTGAATACAGAAAATTGATAAAATTATTACCTACCTATTTATTTTCGAAACTTTTTATTTACTGAAATACAACTTAAAAGTAACCTTGTATTAATTTTTCAAGTTTTTTTTACTTATTAACAAAATGTACATTTATAGTTCAAAAAAAAAAACTTAAAATATTTACACTTTATCTATGTGGCTGTTTTATTATTTTTAATTTTAAGAAAAACGAAATCGATTTGGTAGAAAACTGGTTTATAGTAAAAAATTTTTTAAGTTTAATTTTTTGTTCATCTGGATTATTTTAAAAATACTATGAATTTTTTACTTTTCGATTTCTCTAAATATCTATATATTAGATTAAATTTGCTACCAAAAACCACCCTCCAAGTCAAATATATTTGATCTTATGATAATTTTTTTAAAATGGGTTTTCAAGATGGAAAATATAATAAAATACGCTTTTAGTTTTAAATTAAATTATTCATTTTTTTATGTACCCATATATTTAAATACTAATTGCTCATTTCACCTTACCTCAATTAATGAGTAGTTAGTAATTACTAATTTGATTTTGCTATTACCAAAAATGTGAGTACTTATATGACTATATCATAATAAACATTATCATTGTTCTTACAATAGTACTTAAATTATATATGTTATATACGAGAGAAACAAAAGAAAATAATAAAATAAACTATGTAGGTATATAAATCATTATTTATTTTTAATTTTAATATTAATTTTAAAAATATAAGTAATACAATTCAAGATTTTTTTGTTTTAAGTGCAGTAAACACTAGAAATAATTAAATCTACACATATTAATTAAAATTAGTTTATAGCGAGTGCATCCATTTCTTGTGTAAATTGTGTTTGAAGGTTTGATAGTTTATTTTTAAGTGCAGCGACTCCCATTAGAACAATATTTTCAGGCTTTAATGATCCACAACTTTCTACATTGAAAAAAAACTTATTTGGTTTAGCTCTCCAGTTGTATTGTCCTTCATGCTGATCTTCATTGAGTTCTGAATATTCACTTTTAGGCCATTCATCTGGCTTAGGAAATAATGTATGTCGCATAGTGTTGTCTGGGTCATATTCAAAGCTTACACCTGTAGTTGGATTCCATTTAGCATGCTCCTTACCAAATCCTTTTTTAGCAAATGCTCTAATTTTTAATTCTTGTCCTTTACGCAATTTAACAATAAGTATATCATCTTTTTCTCCATATTCATTAATATCACTATCTTGATTTCTTGAAGTAACTGGTACTACACGTGGATTATTGCTTATCAAATCTGCAGTAGTTACATGTCTTGTCATCTCTTCTGAACATTTGACATTGAGGTTGAACTCTACACTACAGTCGTGACAGAAGTCTGAGCATGTGCAATCTCTGGAGTACTGTAGGCGGTCGACTATTTCATCAGATGTCAATGGTATGAGACCAATACGAGATGCTATAAATTCGTCACTTAACACTGTAGAATTGGAATCCAGCTGTACCCAATCAATGGCTAATGTCGGTGTTTCAGCGATGAAAACTCTACGCAGGCTATTAGCAACGCTGAGATCAGTGTCTTCAATTTGAAATTTAATTGAGTCAGTAGTCAGTTCAGATATATGTACGGAAGGTTGATTAGCATACGGCATTATTATTGTTTTTTTTTTTTACAAATTTAAGAATTAGTTAATTACAAAACACCGTTGAACAGTTCTGTTTTCTAAATATAAATAAAATTTAATAATTATTAAGTCCGGTACTCTTACTACTTATTGAATGCTTGTACTTTGTATACTAATAACACATAAACATTGATATCTCAACTATTGAGGTAAACTTAATAAACACTAAACTAAATTTTAAGGTTATGTTCTTAAAATCCGTATTCATTTCACATTATAACTTGTGGTGATTAGATTACAGGATTATTGAAATATCCTTTATAGATCATAAATTTATAATTCATAATAATTGATAATATTTATATTTTACAGTTTTACACTACGATCTTAGCATTCTTAGCAGTAATGTAAGATCATGTATCATATTATTCACTGAATAGTATTCAGTATTCATAGACAGTAGTACAGTTTTATTAGTTTAGTTGTATATTACTTGTCTACAAATTACAATTATTATGGGGAAGTTAAACGTGACTATGTTGCGTTACTTGACACGCGAAGACTTTAGAGTTTTGACTGCTGTAAGTATGATTAAATATAAAAATATATTTAGTTAACATTTAAGTGGAAATATGTATTTATCTTGTTTATTTATGCAATAAACAGATTGAAATGGGAATGAAAAACCATGAACTTGTCCCAGCTTCATTGGCTGCTTCAATTGCAAATCTACATCATGGCGGTGTACATAAAATTTTAAAAGAACTTTGTAAACATAGACTGTTGTCGTATGAAAGAGGAAAGCATTGTAAGTATCATAGTTTTATTAATGCTGGTTAACAAGAGTAACTGAACAATAATTTAAAATTATATACAAGAATATGCAAGAAATATTCTTATTTTACTGGGTCATTAAGAATATTTTGGACACTTGAAAAAGCACCTAAAATATGCCATTGATAACCTTTTTGGAAATTAAAAAACTATTCTTTTATGAGCTTATAAACTACATTGTTTTAAAAGTTACCAATGTACTATTAGATTATGTTTTCCTACTATCAATTAAACCTTAATTATTCATAAGATAATGTTTTATATAGTGCAGTATAATGTATAAATAATATTTATAATGTTAATAAAAATTATAAATATTTTCTATTATTTAGATGATGGTTATAGATTAACTAATACTGGCTATGACTATTTGGCATTGAAAACACTTACTTCACGTCAACTTATTTCATCATTTGGTAATCAAATTGGTGTTGGTAAAGAATCAAATATTTATGTTGTTGCTGATCCCGAAGATAAACCAATATGTTTAAAGTTACATAGGTATTTTTAAATATTTAACTTTCATTATTTAAAATTAACTTCATATTATGTACTTATTTGTCACTATTAAGATTGGGAAGAACATGTTTTCGTAATTTAAAAGAAAAACGAGATTATCATGCACATCGTCACAAGGCTGGATGGCTGTATTTGTCAAGAATTTCAGCTACAAAAGAGTATGCATACATGGAAGCACTATCAAAGAGAGATTTTCCTGTTCCAAAACCAATTGACGTCAATCGACATTGTGTGCTTATGGAATTAGTAAATGGACATCCTTTGTGAGTATTTTTCTTTTCTATACTCAATATTAGGAAATTATCTTAATCATTTTTAAAACTAAGTTTTAATTTTTAAATGATTTAGATGTCGTCTTTATGAAGTTGATAATGTAGAAAATTTATATGATGACCTCATGAATTTAATTGTTCGTTTTGCTCAACATGGAGTTATACATGGTGATTTCAATGAATTTAATATAATGATTAATGATGAAGAAAAACCAATTGTAATTGATTTCCCACAAATGGTGTCAGTTACTCATGTTAATGCTGAAATGTGAGTAGAAGTTTTTCATCCATCATTCATTTATGCACTGTACTCATAATTGAGTTAGATATTGTAAGACCCTATGAATAATTCTTTTGAGTTATAATTTTTTTTTATAAAGTGTTCCTAAAAAACATGGTCATCAAACTTATTGATAAAATAATAAGAATATTTAACATTTAGACAATTGATAAGCGTAAATTAATTACAATTATTTACATCATTAAATTATAATAAAACAGTTAACATTGTTATTAATAGTTAAAATATGTAATTTTGTCCAATTTGAAATTCAAGTATCTATAAAAAAAAAAAAAATTGTTTATTTTTTAGTTCAAGTATGAATTATTTTATATTAAATTTTCAAACTTAAACCATACAAATGAAGAATTTTATTAATTTTTCACCTAAAAAATTCAATTTTATTTAAAAATTTCTGTTTTTCTAAGTTATTTTGAAAAGTATTAAATTTTTTACTTTGAATTTCCCTTAGATACTAACCAGAACGAATTGGTTACTTAGAGCAAACCACAAAGTTTAAAATTAAAGCATTTTTACTGTCTTAAAAGATGACTGATAAAAAAAAAATACATCATTGTAAAATCAATATATCATTGCTTCGCTCAAAATCTAAAATAAGAATGTTTGATAACATTTTAATATTATTATTAAAATAATTGGTTTTATTAGTTACCCTAAAACTAGATAGTTATTCAAAAATTTTTTCATTATTGAATTCAAATTTAACACATCTGTTTGTTTTAATGCCTACTTAATTTTTATTTTACACCAGAGCAGTTTATCTACTGTAAGTCCTTTTCAAATTCAAGATATTTAGGTCCTGCTTATTAAAATAAACTATAATACTACTATTTTATTAATTATATAATATATTTTTTTTATCCAAAGTAAATTTAGATAAAATAATTTAAACATAAATTTAACATTCTAGCCCAGCAACGCGTATTATACACTTCTTTGCATACACGTTTACAACCATCATATTTCAATGTCATTCTTAAAATATAAATTTTATTAAAGATTTTTAAGATAGTTATTGTAAATAAACATAAAATTGAAATTGGATGATTAACATACATAGTTTGTTTTAAGTGTTTTGATATAATTAACATTAGTGACACATTAACCTTTCATTGCTTATTGTGTATTCGACACAGACATATATGTCACATTACAGATTTAACTGTAGATCCTTTGGTTGTATGCAACTGACACACTTACTCGTCAATGGTATACAAGAGAAGTCCTATAAATAAAATTATAGAGAAAAATATTTAACCTAATTAAGAAAGTAATAATGTTACTTATACATTTATTAATGTAGAAAGTAGATTATCTTTATTAATTGGAATTGGGAAAGGGGAGATACAGGTAATTAAAATTTTTTTAGAAATTTACAATGGAACACAAATTTAAATGTTTTATATAATTAAAAATAAAATGTTTAAATTGTATATATAATGTGTAGATTAATATGAAATTATGAATACAATACATTGTCAAAAGTATGTGATACAAATTAATTTAAATTTTAAATTTAATGATATATATATTTTTTTTTTCAAATAATTTGTAATTTACAGATAATTGACACTCCACTGTATGTAGATCTATATTTAGTATTATACATATTCACTAACATAAATATCATATGCATTATGTCTACAATAAAATGCAGCTTAATTATAAGTAGTTATCTTTTTGTTTAACATAAAAGTGGTTGATATTAAAACAAATAACAATACATTGATGAAATCTAGAAAATTAAATTTAACTTCTTTATTTTTTGTTTTAGGTATTTTGATAGAGATGTTAAATGTATAAGAGAATTTTTTAAAAAAAGATTTAACTATGAAAGCCATTTGTATCCAACATTTGAAGATATTACGTAAGTAATGTTTAAAACCAAATCAAAATTATTTTACGTGTTAGATATTTTCTAATTATTTTGAATTTATAATTTTCATTTTAATAGCCGAGAAGAATTTTTAGATGTAGAAGTATCAGCTAGTGGTTTTACAAAAAATATGGACCAATGTTTATTGCATGAACTAGGTATGGTTGATAGTATTGAAGAAGGGTCTGGAGAAGAAAGTGATTTTTATGAAAATGAAAAAGATGAAGTGGAACATTTAGCAGAACGAGTAGCTGAACTGATGAAAGAAGAATGTTCAACAGTTCTTGGCAATTCTACTGTTTTTCCAGTTCAAGAAAAGCCGAATAATGTAAAATCAGATTCTGAGGAATATGTATCATTAAGTGAAAATGATGAATCTGAAAGTGTTGCATCATCAAAAGTATGTTATTCAGATATACATAGTGTTAGAAGTATGTCAACAGCTACAACTATACCACCAGAAGTAATTAGGGACAGAGTGAAAAAAGCGTTAGCAAAAAGAGAAAGAGCAACAGTAAGACATAGAAAACTTGCTAAAGGCGAAGCTAGTGCTGTAAATCGCCAAAGAAGAGATAATAAAGATACAATTAAAGATAGTTTTGGAATATGGGGTTAGATATTTTGTTATGTACAATCTAAAACTATTTTATCAAGTATAATATAATGTGTATATTGTATAATAACAATATTGTTTTGGAAAAAAATGTTGAGTGATTTTTATTTAAAAACTCAAATCCTTACCATTGGATATTCTATTGAAAAGAAAAACAACACAATTTTAATTAAAACTATATTCAAAGTATTTTACATAGGTTAATATATAAATGTTTACATCCAAGAATAAAAAATTCAAAATTCAAAATTTAATTTTTGCAAGAAATTAATTTACTTAAAAGTAGCAACATTGTAATAATTAACTGTATATTAAAATAAAAAGTAATTCTTACAGTAATTATTTATAATTTTGATCATTTTTATGACAAATATCAATCACAATAATTAACAAAAAATGTTTAAAACTGTATTATCAAATAGCTCATCAAAATATTTCAAATTAAAACAAACTTAAATTGAAAAATATCATGTATTAAACAATGGTAAAACAAAAAATTTTAATTTAAAATATTTTATTGATCATATTTTTAAATTATTTTGCTTTGACAACAGCTATAAACCATTTATAATTGAAAAAATTAATATGTAATATTTAGTCCAGTATACATTTTTATTATACAAATATTGAAACCATTTCTAATATTAAAATTGAATACTGCTTACAAAATGGTATTTTAAAATAAAAAAATTCAACGAGAAACTGTATTTACTAAAAAAATATTTCAACTAAAGAATGTTTTATAGCAAACTTAATGTTATTTAAATGAAATATT